GATTCCTTCTTTTTTCCCTCTCTCTCCCTCTCCCTCCCCTTTTTTTTTTTTTTTTTTAATCTTCTCCTTTTTGGGAATGCTTTCTATTTAAACCTTCAGGTGGTAGTTTTCAAATGATTTGTGCAGAGTTATTTGTAGCAGGGTCAGTCTGGTCGGAGAATCACCACCAAAGGTAGAACTTCCAGTGTTTTCATTCTAAGAAATCTCAGCACTGTGGAGTGGATCCCTCAGCAGTGTGTAATGGGTCCCTCCACAGGAAGCGTTTATGCCTTCTCCTTCTTACTTAAGTTGGTTGTCACAGAGACAACGGAGAAGTATGCAAAGGAAAGCTCAGTACCTGAGGTTGTACAGACCAAACTCTCGGGATTTTCTGGAAATCCGTTTCTCTGACTTAGCAAATATCCAAAAGCATATCTTGCACTTATCTGTGATCCTCATGCCTTCCTTTAAAAGGCAGTGTGGTAGATGGAGGAGGTTTGCATTTGTGGTGTTGGGGCTGTGTGGGTGGGTAGGCAGGTGGGAAATGAGAGTACTCAGTCATGGTATGAGATAATGACTGGAGTTAGGATAGTTTGGTGTGTGTGTGGGGGGGGATACGAATTCTCTGGGAACTGCCCTCATTAAGCACCACCTCAAACTGAAGAAATGTTTCCCGTAGAACCAGCTTTCTGGGTGAAGATGTAGGGGGTTTATGAAGTATGTTCATTTGGAACATATACAGGAGAATATCCTTACAAAAAACATAGGCAGGGGAAAATTACTGCATTTGAGCACAAAAGTTGGGGCTGAGCTCCTGAAAGCAAAAGACAAGAACATAACACCTGATTAATAAAAGTCTGGTTTTATTTGTATATTTAGTTTGTTTGCTTTTAAGTAATAGTCATTAAACAAGAACGATCTCTTTGGTTGTAGTTTACCAAAAAAAGTGAAGATTATCAACATGAGAATGTATTTTAAAAGGTTAAAAAAAAGGTATCAAAGTCCTATTGTCTGAACCACTGTTCAAATTTCTTTTTTGCAGATAATATTTGTACATGTTATAAGTAAAAACATACTACCAAAAAAAATTCCAAAGTACCAAAAGATATTATACAGAAAATGAAAAATCATCCAAACCCCATAGCCTAAATACTATCAGTGGTTTTTTTCTTTTTCCACCTTCTTTGCCTGGTGCTCCTACCACACTGAGCATTCCATGCAGCCAAGAGGGCTCCTATTATTTGTATCCTCAAGCCTCTACTCTGATCCAAATTTCTTTAAATGAACTAAGCGCAATTTATTATTAACAACAGAGTCATTATAGACATCAATTACTGTATTACTTGTAATTATAGCTTCAGGAAACACTCAGGCATGGGCAGCTTGTCCCTCCACTTAATAGCCTTTAGTTGCCAAGATCTGGTCATATCTTGTATCTTTTTTTGTCTCTATATTTATAAACCATTCCCAATTCTATTCCACTCACAGCTCTCCACCTATCTGTGAGCAGACATTACTGATCTGCATAGATACTTAAAAATAGTTTGCTACAGATGTATATGATCATAGAACTTCCCTGCCTAAAGCTTCCTCTGCTCTCACAACAAATGGCCAACTCCTTATCTGGCCCCAGGATCTCTCTCAGCTCCACTTCATCCCACCTTTCCAGCTTTCTCCAAGCTTCCTCCCCTTGACAACTTTCTCATTCCCTAAAGTTTGTCCCTTCCTACCAACCTTCCTTTGCTTAGTTAATTCCCATTCATCTTTTAAATGTAGGCTGAAATGTCACTTTCTGGGGGATGCTTTGCTCCTCCAACGAGGTCAGGTCCCTTACATGTACTGTGATACTTTACTTGCAAGAGTTCTCTCCTGACTGCAATTCTACTTATACAAGTGTGTATGTATGCGAGTGTGTTTATATGATGACTATCTGTCTCCTGAAAGTCAGTTTTTCAGATGATTGTGTCTTTATGGCCTAGCTTTATATAAGTCTCATTCAAAAGACATTTCTTAAATGGTACATCTACCAAGCATGATAAACCCTCACTTTGATGGACTGAGGCTCCCTCACCCATGTAAGTGAGGTGTTACTATATTAAGACTACCAACAAGAATGACTGCGGAACCTAAGGCTCAACTTAATGGTTATTTGTAAAACCATAGCACGAATAATAAACCTCTTGCTTAATTTTGTGCAAAGCAAAATTCTATAAAATAGCTATCTTTAAATGCACCTCCAGAGTAACGATTTTGAAGTCACTGGAACGAATCGTTCCGTAAAACAAACATTTTGTGAAGAAATTATTTATTGTCTCCGCTATGATTCTCTTCAGGTTACATTTTAAGTCTGTCTCCTAAGTATCGAGTTTACTCAAAATCTAGACGTCTTTAAATTCTCTTCGAAAGCCTTTCGCATAGGACAAACACGGTTTCCTTTCTGTACAGTAGGCTACTGCAACGCGGGGACTGGTAAGTGGTTTATTACGGGTCAGTATTTACTGTGTGCCCAAGGGCGAGATCACCAGCACTGAGACCCCAGCCCTCCTTCCCACCCAGCGTCCTCCGCGCGCCTCCAAGCCCCTACTCCTTCGCGACCAGCCCCGACCCTCTCCCGAGGCCGGGACCCGGGCCCGGGCCTACGAAAGGATACCGGGATTCCTGGACGCATGGCTCCTGCTTCGATCGCAGGCTTCGGGGGAAGCTGGCAGAGTTCCCACCGCTCTCCACTGCGAAGCTCGCGGCGCAGCCGGGCTCGGAAGTCGCCGAGACGAAAGGGACAGTCGCGCAGGCCGGTCCCCGCCGCGCAGCACCGGTGTGTACCGATGCGGCCGGGCGGAGAGGAAGGAGCGCGACTGCGCCGCCTGCCCGCAGCCCGGGCGGGCGCCTCCCCAGGCCAAGAGGCCCCGGGCAGCTGGAGCGGCAGTGGCCCGACGCCGCCGCCTGCCCGCAGCCCGGCCGCGCGCCTCCCAAGGCCAGGAGTCCCGGGTCCCCTCACTGGCCCAGAGCCACTGAGGCCAACTACTCCCTCCTCCGCGCTCCTCCCTCCCTCCCCGGCCGGAAGACCCGGTCAGTACCAAAGGAAGCGCTCAGAAGGCGGAGAGTGGCCTCCTGGAGCCCGCCGGGGAGACCCGGGACGCTCGGGTTACTGAAGGCGCTTGAGCCATGGAGACGCTGGCAGGCGCTGCTGCGGGAGGAGCTGAAGGGCCCTGGATTCGGGCTTTTGAATAAATGAGTTGGTGTCAATAATGGCAATTGCAAAAGCTGGACAAAACCGCTGCCTCGGCCTCTAGCAGACCCGCCTCCGCGCTTGGTATTCGGGCGGCGGCAAGACCTGGAGAGGCAGGGAGCGAGCCTGAGCGGGAGGCTCCGAATCCGACTCCCCGGATGAACGCGAGGCCCAGCCAGGAGGGACGCAGGAACTGGGGCCCGAACCCCGGCCACTCGTATCCATGGGAGCGCCTCCAAAAGGGGATGTGCTCCAGAGCCGATTCGTCCCTTTCCTCCCTGGTGCTTTTCTCCCCTTTGTGACCCAGAATCTCCCCGTGAGCCTTCCGGCTAGGATGGGCACCAGTGCGGTGACCTCCACTGGGACGGCCACCAGGATCCAGACAACGCCGTGAGCAAGCTAGTGGCCGCCGGTCCTGCCGGGGCCGCCCACCCTGCGCCCTCTCACTCAACCCCTGCCTACCGCCCCCGGGTACCTGGGGCCTGTCCTGCCTGGTCCGGGCGCTGCGTCCTCAATAGAACCCCTCACCGAGCCGGATCACTGCTTCCAGCGCTAGGTCCGCGGTGCGCCTCGGATTGCCCTGGGGGGGAAGGGGGGGCTGGTGTCACGTCCCATCGGAACGCAAGCGGTCAGCGACCTGGACTGCGGTGCTCGCCACGGGTCGTCGGTATTACTGACGACGCAGTCCTTTCATCGTGGTGTATGCCTGCCCTCTGCACGTGCGGAGGATGTCATGACCAAGCCCCAGAAAAAAACCTTAGCGGAGCCTCCAGACTGCGTGCCCCTCTCTTTTGGGCATTAGGAGCATTTATCTGTTCCCTGAAAGCAGTGATCAAAAAGTCAGTCAGAGGTGAGAGATGGTAAGCCTGGCGGGATTTCCGCTAGTCCTGTCGCGAACTACATATCCCAGGGAGCCCAGGGCGTGGGGACGCGTGTCCACCAGCCACCCACTTGCAGAAGGCTTTACTAAGCCTGGCCTGATGCACGGGCCAATCCCCTTGCCTTGCACCTCGCCGGGGACCGGAGGCGGATTCGCCCCCAAATGATGCTCCAGTGGCAGGAGCAGTCCAAGTTCATCATCGTCCCGAGAGAGAGAAGCAGCGGTGTCCGTGCCGGTGTGAGCAGAACGACAGGCATCCTTCGCCCGGGCATGCCAAGGTTCCGATTGTGATTTTCCCCGGGACCGTGGAGACCGCGCGCCTGCCCTGCGGCACCTTTTGGAGCCGGGTCGCTCGCGGCAGTGATCGGCCAGCGTGCCCCTGCCGAAGCCCCTGCTGGTCCGGTCCACCTCACACACTTTGCATTTATCCGCGAATCATTTCGAGAGTCCGTCTTGTAAATGTTTAGCATTTTGCTGCTTTACTGGTGCTTTCTGGGGACGGTTCCAGCTCTTGACGAGATCGGCGGAGAGAGGCGACTTAGCCCCCAGAAGAGCGAAATATGGGGACCCGGGCTAAAAGCAGACGTCGTCCTTCCCGCCCGCTATTTCTATATTCAGGCGGTGGATACATCAGGCAATAAGTAAGTTGAGAAACGACTCCTTCACCATTGTATATTGCAGCCAAAACTCCTTGTTTCTCCCTGCAAACTTGGATCTGCCCAAGAACTCGTTGCTCTGCAGCGGTTTAAATTCCAATGTATTTAGGTGCTGTACGTATCTGGTGTTCAAGTCTCCTCTGTGCCAATCAAATTGTCCTGGTAGTTTTAAATAATGATTACGAACTGGGGACCAGCAGTTAGCGTGATGGCTATGTCTCTGAACTCCCATGTAGCGGACCGTGGTTCGAGTCCTGGACCTGGTGGCTTAAACTCACACCTGGTGCGTGGGCGTGCGTGCCCAAGATCCCGAGAGGAGAATGGAGGAGAAGGGATTGCCATCCTTCCTGGGGTGTGATTTCTCGCTTTCTATCTCTCTGTCTCTTTCTGGCGAGCGCTCCCGCCCTATAGTAAAAACCTCTCCCCCCTCCAAAAAAAAAAGATTACAAACTATAATGTATATATTATATATAAATAATGCATACTATAATAATAGCTCTTCTAGCTATTTTGATAGCCATTCTCACATTTTTGGGGTAGAAGAGCCCCACACACACACACTTTGCTGCGAGTGCTATTTCTGACTACTTTTAACTGTTACAGGACTTTAAATCCAGATGTTAGAAACTTTGTCAGCATCGTCTTTCTCTGGTGCTGCCCCCAATTTTCACATCGACATCTGCAGGTACACGTTTTGAAACTCAAGAAGAAAAGTGAAATAGTTTTAACACGTTAGAGTTTGGAGGAAAGTATGATTCAGTATGATTGTAACAAACGTTTATCTCATTCCAGTGAATTCAGTACACTAAAAGTATATTGAAAACTTATCTTTATAATTCACATACTTCTTTTTATTGGTGAATGCTGTTTTTATTTTATAGGGAAAAAAATCTCAAAGAAAAGGAACACTGTCACTCGGCTATGAATAGTTCAGTGGGAGAAACTAAGTACCATATTGAACAGCAAGAGCACTCACTCCAAAAAACCTGTTTTATACAATGTCACTAAGACGATTCACTACCTACTTTGCTTTTGCTGCTGATTAACCATAAATTATAATGCTTTTTAATTATACTAGTTATGTAATATATTAGTGAAATATTTAAAAATATATTTAAGAGTCATTTAGGTAGGGACCAGTAGTTAGCATAATGGCTATGTTGCTGGACTCCCATGTAGTCGACCGTGCTTCGCATCCCGGACCCAGTGGCTTAAAACTCACACCAGGCACGTGTGCGTGCATGCCCAAGATCCCGAGAGGAGAATGGAAGAGAAGGGATTGCATTGTGGCCATCCCCCCTGGGGGGAGTGATTTCTGTCTGGTGAGGGCACACACCCTATAACAAAAGTCTCTAAAAAAATTTAAAAAGTCATTGAGGTAGATTTTTCAAAATTAAGATTATTTTTCTCTGGAGGCATCACTTGATAACAAATTTCCAGATGGAATAATCATGAAAGAAGCAGTAGATTGACAGTAATGTTTGTATGTGTGGAATGCATTAGTATGTATACTTAAATAAATTAATACTCTTAACATATTCCTTTGCAAGTCTAAGATAATGCTTTTGTGCTATCCTGGCCATCGCCATCCACTCTGGTTCTAAACCTTAGATCCATCATATTCATTCTGGTTCTAAAAGCATGGAAGAGAAGCAGCAGGCCTACGTTAGAGTGAGAATGTGGAAAAGGGCAAAGTTTACGGGCTGAAGCCTGTCACCTTTGTGCCTTTGTTCCATAAAGTAATCTTGATATCTTGTTGCTCTTCCCATCACAGATTCACGTCTTCTCCGGGAGAAAAGGCGTTCCAGATTAAAATCTTGGCCCCAGATGAGCAGTTCACTAGAGTGGGAGTTCAGGTTCTAGACCGAAAGGATGGGTCCTTCATAGTAAGGTACAGAATGTATGCAAGCTACAAAACCCTGAAGGTGGAGGTTAAATTCCAAGGTCAACACGTGGCCAAATCTCCATATGTTTTAAAAGGTAATTCGGAACATAATTTTATAACAATAGTATGACAAAAATACATGTCATGCCATCAACAGAAACAACAGCATGGTCTTTTTTTTTTTTTTTTTAACTGAAAGAATAAAATGGGGCCAACAGATGGCGTGGTGGTTAAAGTGTTGGAATTCTCACATGGCTGACTGCAGTTCTAGTGTTGGCGGCTTGCTTTCTCACTCGCCCTCTCTCCCTCTCTCTTTCTCTCTATCTTTCTCTGGCAAAGACTCATGTGAAAAAAAATAAATAATGATAATAAATTAAATAAATAAATAATTCTTTTAAAAAAGAATTTTAAAAACAATAATAATAAAACTAAAAAAGGAATAAAATAGATGTTTCTTATGTGAAAGCTAAATTAGGAGTTTTGCTGTAAGAGAGAATTTAAAGATTGGAATGAAAATTATGATTTACTAAGGCACAAGGAACAGATTAAGAGAGAAATCACTTCCTAAAGACACATGGTTGGCACAAATAATCAAGCTGTGAATATCATCATAATATGATACTTTTTTTAATAGTAATTTGCCAGAGGGTAGGTTTACTCATTGGAGAAAGAAAGAGAGAGGGAAAGTGAGAAAGCACCCCCATCGAGTGTGATCACATTGCAATCCCTTCTCTTCCATCTCTCCCTTGTTTTGGGATTTGGGACATGCGTGCACACACTCATGCCTAGCATGTTTTTCAAGTCATGAGGTCCAAGCCAAGTGGTTGGTCATGTGGGATCCAGCCATTTTAATCACTAGACCAACGGCCAGACCCCATATATGATTCTTAATTGGAGATATATTAGTTAAAGAACTGGTGTTACTGAAATCTGAAAGATCACTTCAGGAAGCGAGATGGATTGAAGCAGAGGGGAACAGCAACTTGTTTTTTGTCTTGGTTCCAATGCTGTTTTTATAGAAACATTCTCTTATGTTTTCTTATGTGGAATGAAATTATAGCTTCGTTACCTAGAACGACCTCCTTCCATCTGAAAGGAGACAGTACCCTAGAACAGTGAAGAAGATAGGAGTCTTCTTTGTTCCTTCTCTCACCCCAGGAAAAGTAAACATTTTCTTAAGTGTCTAGGTTTCTTTCCTACATTCTACCAGGATAACATGGTACAGTATAATCTGCTAAACTTTAAAAAAAAAAATCCATTTTCAGATAATGCCTGGGCCAGGTGGGAATCTGAGAATTATGGAAAGGAATGTCAGTAAAAATCTCAGGCCAGTCCATGCCCTGGTGGTTAAGGTGGCTGGATCCCATGTGGCTGACTGCACAATTTGGTTCCTGGACCTGACAGCTTAAATAACACACTGGACACGTGTGCATGCATGCCCAAAATCCCAAAAGGAAGGAGAAAGGGAAGAGATTGCAGTTTGACCAATCTTTATGTGGGGTCCTTTATTTCTTTACCTTTCCCTTTCTGTCTCTCTCCAGTGAGCACACAGGCCCTCTGGCAAATTTAAAAAAAAAAAACATCAATTCAGATTCTGCTATATTGGGTTAGTATTATTTATAAAAATGTGTGATGCATTATAATATTAATGAAATGGATGGTCTCACCAACTACTTTTGCTTCTTTATAATTCTTTTTTAAAAAGTAGCAGGAGCTTTTTGTTTACTTTTGTTATTATGGATGATAATTTACCGGTTGAGATACTATAGACACTCTAAGACCCTATTTCTATAATTGGCATCAAAATATTAATTCATATCACTTTTATTTATTTTTCATTAAAACAGGATATGTGTACTCCTCTGGTATCCTTTTACCAGACTTTGGTTACTGTCATGTACACAAAACCACAATGAACTATAATATCCACAGTAGAGTATATTGACTTTCTTTATTTTGTTTTTAAGAATTATTTTACTTAGCTTTATTTTTCCATTTATTCGTTGATTTTTATTTGACCAGCAAGGGATAGAGTGAGTGAGTGAGAATGAGAAAGTGAGAAACCAAGCCGCCTGGTCCAGGACTTGAACTGTGGTCAGCCATGTAGGCGTCCAGTGCCCTTAACCACCATGCCACCCGTTAGCCCCAGCTTTCTTAATTTTGAACTTGTGCAAAGTGGACAGGATTATGAAATTATCACAAGACTTAATAGTCACAATAGAGGCTGACTTACTCTCAGTGCCCCAATGGGATAAAAATGTGTTTCTTTATATTTTTTCAATCCAAATTCCTCTCCTATCTGACTAGGCAAAATGTGTGACATTATATGATAGATTTAGTTATATGTTTCAAAGGACAGGTTCAGTAACTACTGGTACCGTGTCATTTGCATGGTAATAGGGCCAGTTTACCATGAGAGCTGTGACTGTCCTTTGGAAGACAGTGCAGCCTGGCTGCGAGGGATGAACTGCCCGGACACCATCGCTCAGATCCAGAGAGATTTGGCACATTTCCCCACCATCGATCCCGAAAAGATTGCAACAGAAATCCCAAAGCGATTTGGACAGAGGCAGAGTTTGTGTCACTACACAGTAAAGGACAACAAGGTACGATGCATGACTGCTTGCTTGCTTGTTGTAGTGATTTTTGTTTATTTGATTTGATCATTTGGCTACAATGAGCTAAACAGCCTTTTTATTAAACCTTATCCAAAAGACGATCATTGTGACAAACTTCCTCCTGAAGTCGGCCAGTGCTATTGGAACAACACAATAAATCTGAAATTTCCTTTTAGGTTTATATCAAGACTCATGGTGAACATGTAGGCTTTAGAATTTTCATGGATGCCATCCTACTTTCTTTGACTAGAAAGGTAAGTATATGTTTTCTCTTAGATGTTACAGATAATATAAGAACACATTTTGTGATATAATGTTTTCAAAATAAAAATAGCAGTCTCAGAGTTGTTCTGTTTTGTGGTTTATGTCATGTAGGGTACCTACATTAGTTCCTGGGGCTGATGTAACAAACTACTACAAACTGGATGTATTTACACAAACATCTAATTCACATTTTAGAGACTGGAAACCCAAAATCCAGTGTCAGTGGGGCCATGCTCCCTCTAGAATTCTGAGTAGTTTCCTCCTCGGCCTCTCCCTAGTTACTGAGGGAAGGGCCTCACTCTTTGGTGTTTCCTGGTTTATACATATGTCACTCCATCTCTGCCTCAGGCTTCACGTGGCCTTTTCCCTGTACGTGCATATGTGTCTGTCTCTCCTAAGGGCAGCAGTCGTATTGGATTAGCAGCACATCCTGCTCCAGTATGATCTCGTCTTCAGTAATCACACCTGTAACAATCCTGTTTTCAAAAGCAGTCATTCTAAGAGCCTGGGGTTTAGGACTTCAGCAAATCCTTTTGGAGATTCAACTCATAATAGTACCATATGGATGAAAAAAAATGCCTTGTGATACATAAAATTATTTTGGTACTAACCTACTTTGAGTCCAAAAAAGACTTGCCTTATACTGAATCCAGTTCCTTAGTACAATGTGCTTTAGTACAGTTAAATTTTGAGTAGTGGAGTACTTTTAAATTGGGTGATATGTAAAACTATACTGCTGTAATTGGAACATGTCCCCCAAAACTTCATGTGTTGAAATTTGGCTGTTATAGTGTAATATTAAAAGGATGGAAATTTAACCTAAATATGAAATTTTAAAACGGGGCCTTCGGGAGCTTTAATAAGGTTAGATAAGGCCACCAGGGTGGGGAACCACACACTCCTTTGCCTTTTCAGCATGTAATACTTTGGGCTACTTCAAGACTCTCCAGAGTCTCCACCAGCAAAAAAGGCCTTCACCAGATGTAGTCTCAACTTTGGACCTCACAAAATGTGAGCTAAATAAAGCCTTATTCCTGAAAATTACTCAGTGTGGGGTATTCAGTTATAGCAACAAGAAAAATGGACTAAAACACATACCAACATGTTTGCCAATTGTATATTTATTTACACTATTATATATCTATTGTTATTTTGTTTTGTTTTTAAGAGAGATTTTGGCTATATGGCACATGCACTAACTGGAGAGCTCGAAAGCGAGAAATCACTTCCTGGAGAGGATGGCCACACTGCAGTCCTTTCTTGTCTATTCTCCTCTCGGGATCTTGGACATGCATGAGTGCACATGTGTCCAGCACAAGTTCTAAGCCACCGGGTCCAGGACTCAAACCACAGTCAACTACATGGGAGTCTAGCAACATAACTATTATGCCATCTACTGGTCCCAATATATATTTATTAAATAATCTGTGTGTATATCTCAATTAAATGACTTACAGAAAATCATAATATCTTTTTTCTCAAGATTGCAAAGCATTTGCAGCCAGTTAATTCTGAATGGAGGTGATTACATAGTATTAGTATTATACCTCCTTTAAACATTAAGCATTAGAGTACTTGCAAATTTTCTTGCTCATGTCAATCCATGGAAAAATAAGAATGTTCTCTCAGATTCTACTTTACCTGGATGCTTCCCAGACCTCCCAACATGATTCTTACCTATGAATTATGTATTTCTTGTTTTGCAAATTCTCTAAGCATTTTCTATCACTATATTTAACAGGAATTTTCAGCATATTCACACCATTTGTTAGTAAAGGCAGCAGTGGCTTGGAAGTTACTATGCTAACCTTGACATTGGACTTCCTGAGTTCAAATCCCATTCCTGCCACCGACCTCTGTGTGTTTTCAAAATGGAAGCTTCTGGCTCATTAACAGGAAAGTAGGATTAGAGTCCTAACTGCTGTTCTTTATCTTTCAATATTTCTCTTTCTCTCTTTGATTATCTGAGAGTTTCTTGGCAGTATTAGGACAGAGATTACCTTTGCCATTTCATCCCTTTGTAGTAAGTCTGTTGGCCAATGATACCATAGAAAGGAAACCTAGAATGCTCATACACATGACCATATTCTAAAAGTTACCCACTATGCTACAGAGGTAATTACCACTTCCTGAGGCTTATAAGGTTGGCCTTTCATTTGTTATGATTTTCAGTTTTTATTGATAGATACAAAATATTATCCAATGTCAGAAGTGTGAATAAGCTCTTTGATTTATTCCTAGGTGAGGATGCCAGATGTGGAGTTCTTTGTTAACTTGGGAGACTGGCCTTTGGAAAAAAAGAAATCCAATTCAAACATCCATCCAATCTTTTCCTGGTGTGGCTCCACAGATTCCAAGGACATAGTGATGCCTACCTACGACTTAACTGACTCTGTTCTAGAGACCATGGGCCGGTGAGAGATGGGTCAGGGTTAACCCAGAGCCTTAGTTTTTTTCTTTGCTGAATTTTTTCCCAAAAGCCTTTATGATGTGATAATTTGGGAAGAAAATCTGTTGCACTTTTTTGTCTTTTAGAGTGAGTCTGGATATGATGTCTGTGCAAGCTAACACGGGTCCTCCCTGGGAAAGCAAAAATGCCACCGCCGTCTGGAGAGGGCGAGACAGCCGCAAAGAGAGACTCGAGCTGGTTAAACTCAGTAGAAAACACCCAGAACTCATAGATGCTGCTTTCACCAACTTTTTCTTCTTTAAACACGACGAAAGCCTTTATGGTCCCATAGTGAAACACATTTCATTTTTTGATTTCTTTAAGGTATGACATCATCAGGGCCAGTCCTTTGTCTTTTTCTAGTTTATGAATAATGGTTTGGAGAAGGGAAATTGAAGCCTGTAAATTACAGAGATGGAAGATGTGAACTTTAGTGAATATCAAGGGATAGAGGTGTTAGGGCCTGGTTTGGCCACCTGGGTTTGTACCCACAGCCCATCCCTGACATTAAATATGCACCAAGGGAGCTTGGAGCATGGGTAGAGCCAACATTCGTTTTCCAGCTAGCCTTCGAGATAAGCACATGTCAGTTCCAAATCCTTTTGTACTAATATGAACATGTAAGTTATCTTATAAATATTTCTCCCCCAGCGCCATAGCATTCTAACAGGCTAAAGAAGATGTAAACCATCTGTGTTTTATCAGGCTCTCTGGTGGAGAATGACTTGAAATAGAGCCAAATATTCTTTCTGGGAATTCTGAGAATTAGGAATCGCTTTCTGCAATGTAGAATGTAGATTGCTCTTCTTTCCCAGGGAGGAATCCTTTCTCTAGCAATTTCCTTTTTCAGGCAATGGGTACCGCCCTGTTCTCTAGATCTCTGGGTGGCTTCTGAAGTTGTGTGATGGAGGGAAAAGTGGGCAAAAGGTAGTCAGTCATTTGTTCTTGGTGGGTGGGAAGGCAGGTGATTTAGCAGGCTCTGGCTGCTCTGCAGATGGACAATTTTTTCTTCTTTTTATTTTTATTATTATTATTATGTTTTTAAATTTTTTTATTTCATGAGAGAGAAAAAGATAGATACCCTTGACAGGGTCTTGTCATGCCACACTCTTACCCCAGCCTGCCAGCCAGCCAAGATCACTGTCTTGCCCTGTGTGTACAGGTCACCTGGGATCCAGACCATATAGTTCTGCATTGCGCAGCAGCTCCCTACCACCTGGTCCATGCAGCTGAACCAGGCCATGTTTTCACCAGATAGATCAAGTGGAGGCAGGCAGACCTAAAGAATGCGACAAATGGGCCGACCCCACAGCTAAGTGGGTAGGCTCTATATATTAGGAGCCAGATCCCGCGTGATGTGCCAAGGTTTCAAGGTTTGACTTTTCCTCAGTGGCTTGATAGACACTCCAGGGCTGTGTGTGTGTGCATGGCCAGAGTCCTAACAGGATAGAGAGGTGGAGAAAAAAGGATTACAGTGTGATCATACCCCATGGGAGGTGCTTCATCTCTCTCTGTCTCTCACACTCAAGCAAGCACACACACATTCTGACAATGAAAAAAAAGGAGAAAAAAGTCTATAGATAAATAAAATTACAGTATGAGTTTATTTTGTTCGGAAAAAATAAGTGAGTATAGCAGGTGACATGGTGGCTAAGTCTCTGGTCTCCCACATGGTTGACGGCTATTCAAGTCTCAGACCTGGTGGCTTGAAACTCACACCAGGCATGTGTATGTGCATGCCCAAAATCCCAGGAGAAGAATGGAAGAGAAGGGTTTGTGGTGTGACCATCACCCTGAAGAGGTCATTTCTCACTTTTTGTCTCTTCATCTCTCTACATCTCTCTGGCAAGTGCAGGCACTCTGTAACAAAATCTCTCAAAAAAATGCTACAAGTAGGACCAGCAGTTAGCGTAATGGCTATGTCACTGGACTCTCATGTAGCTGACCATGGTGCAAGTCCCAGACCCGGTGGCTTAAAACTCACACCAGGCCTATGTACGTGCATGCCCAGGATCCTGAGAGGAGAATGAAGGAGAAGGGATTGCGGCATGGCCATCCCCCTTGGGTGGGGGGGGAGCGATTTCTTGCTTTCTGTATCTCTGTCACTCTCTGTCTATCTGGCGAGCACACGCGCCCTATAGCAAAAACCTCTCCCCCCCCCAAAAAAAAAAGCTACAAGTTGAATCATATTTTTCCATATATATATTTCAAAGATAATTTTAAAAAATTATTATAATTGGGCCAGCCATGGCCTGGTGGTTAAGTCTGTTAGATAACACGTGGCTAACTGCATGGTTTGAGTCCCAGACCTCATGGCTTTGAGAAACACACTAGCCATGTGTGCATGCATGCCCAAGGTCCAAAAAGAGGGAGAAATGGAAGAGAAAGAATTGTGGCATGACCATTCCCCATGGGGGATGCTTTCTACTTTCCCCCACTTTCTCTGTCTCTCGTTGGTGAGTGAATATGCAACCTCTGGCAAGAAAAGAATGAATATAACCAAAGAGAAGTGGATACTAGCCATCACTCCTCTAGGGCTGCTACATCATGCCTTTGTCTTTATTCCTGGCTGCTGAATTTCCTACAACCAAAGACTGTTGCTTACCAGAGTTCTTTTGGTATTATTATTCATAGACGGTCTTGCCCCAGAGCTTATTAATTTCCTAATAGGATGGAAAGGTAGAAGAAAAAGGCTTACACTGTGACATATGTATGGCCATCTGATGTTCAAGGATATGGTAACATGGCACAGATTGTGCCATCATTAGATGCACATGTGCGGTCATTAAAGTAGTAGAGAAATTACAGAGTCACTGATTCATCTATCTTTCCTTATGTTGTAGCCTTCAGGACAACAATTTTATTATTTTACTGGCAGTTCTAGTGTTCGATTCATTGACCCCTTTGTGAAATTTAGGAGCAGAGCAAAATGAGCATTAAGTCAAGGTGTGTGTCTTATATGACAGCACTTACCAACTGACAAAGGTGTTACTGAACCAAAGTAGGTTCAGACCAGAAACAGCTGCTCACTACCAGAAAAGCCACTCTCTGACCCATGATGTTTATCAAGGCTATATTACAGTTGACTTCCAGAAGGCAGTTAAGTTGGTTCAGAAGGCTGTCTCCACAGTGTATTCAGGGATGGGCTTTTGTAGAGAAAGAATTCCCACTTAAGATTTCAACCAGCTCTGTGTAAATGAAGGAATGAAACTTGTGCAGTTCTGGTCGGTCAGCTCAAGCAGTGGTCCCATTGACCTGTTATTGAAATCCGTACTGTTTTGATTGGTCACTGCTACAGACAGCATCAATATTCCCTCCGCATAGTGGCGGTCAACCTTAAGTCACTCCGCTTTCTCCACACACATACACCCTCCAAGCAAACCCACACAACTGTAGTCACCAGGCCTCCCCAGCCAGGCGAGTCCTAACAAAGACTACATAGGAGAAGGAGCAAAATCTGACCAATTTGTGTCTGAGGATATATGTGTGGAATGGGGTGGAGAATAAAGGGGGTGGATAAAAGGAAATTTCATGGACGTGTTATACTTTCCTGCTGTTTTGCAGCATAAGTATCAAATAAATATCGATGGCACTGTAGCGGCATACCGCCTGCCATACCTCCTGGCCGGCGACAGTGTGGTGCTGAAGCAGGACTCCATCTATTATGAACACTTCTACAATGAGCTGCAGCCCTGGAAACACTACATTCCAGTTAAGAGCAACCTCAGCGATCTGCTAGACAAACTGAAATGGGCAAAAGAACATGATGAAGAGGTAAGGTTAGACTCCTAGGAGGCTTATTTCCACTTGTACCTCAACATCGCCAGTCTATTTGAAATGTTTCGTGCCTGGAGAGCATTCAGGATGCTCAGACATTGACTTTTACCTATAAACGGGAAGCCACCTCCCTGCACATAACACGGCAATTTCCCTCAGGTTGACCATGGGCATTGCCTCTTGGGTTAACTGTGCACTCTGCATGTGGATCAAGAAGCTGAGCCCTGACCTCAAGTATGCTTTTGCTATAAGGCAGGTTATCCAGATTGCAAACGCTGCCTCTACTAGTGGTGTGAAAATTAAGATGGCAAGTCTGACAGGAGGAGCCACTATGTTATGGATTAAAATAAGGAATTGCATAAGGAAGCTGACTGTAGGAAATTGTGAAGATGGTACATTAATGTAGCTTCACTTGCATTTACTTTACTAAGTCATTGTTACTTCACTTCATGTATAACTTCTCTCTCCGGGAAGCCCAACAAGACTTCTCTAACTTTCTAATCTTAAAAACCTCCCTTTGGTTTGAACCAACATACTCTGTTAAATGTTCCTTTTACCACATAAGACTACCTCAAGGATATAATTCCTTTTATTGTCTCTGTGAAGTCTGTATATCAGTTTATGCTTGTCCACATTAGAAAAAAATAATGTTATATTAAATGATGTTTTTTATTCCTATAGGCAAAAAAAATAGCAAAAGCAGGACAGGAATTTGCAAGAAATAATCTTATGGGGGATGACATATTCTGTTATTATTTCAAACTTTTCCAGGTCAGTATTTTCAAAGAAAATTGTCATATAATTTATAACTGGACATGTTAAGAGTAAATCATATTTTACTTGATTTCTAAAAGTTTATTAATATATGGAGATATATGAACTTCTGTGGGTGAAAATTAGGGACAAATAATAATGCTAATAATAATAATAACAATAATAAATATCTGAAAACCAGAGATTAGCTAATGGAGAACGTTATAGCATCAAGTGAAAGGTATTGCTATCAGATCTACAGGTATGTCATTAGGAAGTTGCCCTCTGTCCTACAGAGTCACTGTGCTTGGCTTATATTTTCTCTTTGGAGTACATTGCTGCTACCTTACCATTTCTTTGTTTAAACAGTGCAAGGTATGTATGTTTTTGCCCCAACCCCATGAGTCATGACTTCTCTTGGAAATTATTTTCATGGACCTAAGTATTTAAGGATAGTAATTAAAGTCTTTCTAACAGTTTAAAAGGCACTTCGGGGCCAGCTGTGTAGCATAGAAGTTCAACCTTGTGCATAGGAGCCAGGGCCACAGGCCAGGCTTTGGCAGCTTGAAAAACACACCATGTCCCAAATCCAATTGGAATGGAGAAATGGAGAAAAAAAAAAGAATTGGCTACATAGGATCTGGCTCCCTTAGCCAGCAAGCCACAGGCCAGCCCTACTATTTTTTCACCCCAAGCAGAAAGTGGTAAAAGAAAGAAGAACAAAAACAAATAAGTCATGTAAATTTGAGAGAGAATGAGATGTTTGTTAAGAACAGGCAGCCAGTGTTCAAAGGACAGCCACCTCCATGAGGCTCTGTTGTTGGGTACACAAGTGGGTATGGAGGACTTTGCAGAACACAGTTTGACACACATGAGTAAATGAACCACATTCTGGTAAATTGCACTCTACCTATATCTAGCTTTGTAAGTATCTTTTTTTTTTTTTTTTTTGAGAGGTTTTTGCTGGAGGGCACATGTGCTCACTGGAAAGAGAGAGACAGAGAGATAGAAAGCAAGAAACTACTCCACCAGGAGGGATGGCCATGCTGCAGTCCCTTCTCCATTCTCTTATTGGAATCTTGGGCAGGCACACACACACGCCTGGTGTGAGTTTAAGTCACCGGGTCCAGGACTCAAACTACTGTCAACTACCTGGGAGTCCAACTATGTAACCATTATGCCATCTGCTGGTCCCTGTAAGTATTCTTAAAGTGCCATAGAAGGAATGCTTGTGTACTGTTGCTTAACAGGAATATGCCAATTTGCAAGTGAATGAGCCTCAAATCCGGGAGGGCATGAAGAGGGTAGAACCACAGACCGAGGACGACCTGTTTCCCTGCACATGCCATAGGAAAAAGGTAACCAGAATGGACCTGTTGGCCAGGGTCAGAGTAAGAAGTGACACTGCTGCACACTTGCAGTCACTCTCTTAGTCATTCACTCAGGAACACATATATTTGAGGTCCTGCTGTGCCCCGTAGGAAGTTCAGTCTACCAGAGAGATAGCTATTGTAGGTAATACGGTATCCAGAAAAGGAGGGTGAAGTGAAGTCAAGTGAAAAGACATAGTAGCTCCCTTTCAGAGTTATAGGAAGTCCTTTTTAATATGAGAGTTCAGATCACTTGGCACTGGAATAGATGTTTACAGTTTGAAAATATTTTCACATGTATCGTCTGATGTCTTCATCTCCCCAGGAGATTGGTTTAGCAAAGTTCATCATCACATTTAGAGATGAAAAAAGTATATTCATGATTATTCATGTTATCAAGTGATTCATTTAAAAGAAGCCAATCTCTCTTCATACCAGTGGTCAATTTTATTTATAAAAGTGAGATTCACATATGGACCTGGAAGCTCCAAACCACCTCTGATGTTACCCAGCAAATGCCTTCCTCTTACGTGTAATGAAACTAAATCCCAAGCAGTTAGCTCCTGGGATCATCTAGCTAGATTATAGCAAAGCAAAAACCAGTCTCCCGTCATCAGATTATGTATGTTTGTGTATGAAGGCACACTGTCATGGGGGCATGTTGTTTTGATTCCAGGTATTTCTTTGAAGGAATATAAATTGCAGAAACAGTGGTGTGTATATGTGCTTACACTACATATATGTGGGTAGTGTGCATGCTTGCTTGACATTATTTTATGAAACATTTCAAAATTGTTTTAACCAACAATGAGAGGACAGATTTGGCAATTATTATGTCTACTTCTTGAGGGAATTTAAAAGGAATAAAGTGACTGCTGGTTCCAGTGATGTGACAGAACCAGCTCTTATGAGCTCACTGATGCTAAATATTCAGGAATTTTGCACACTACTTAATATTTTAGTAGTTTAGAAAAGTCCTGGTGGGAATATTTACACCATGGCAATCAGCACATGCTACAAATTAGAACTGTGGTTGTTTTGTTTTTGTCTTTGTTGTTCTGGAGAACTAATTACCCTAAGAATCTGGCCCTCCAAAGTGGTACATCATTATTGTTGACCCCTGTCAATGCTACAAGGCCATAAAGTCAATGAAAGCAAATAACAGAATAAGAATTGCCAAATCTAAAGGAAGACCCCTTATCAAGTGTGTGATATGTTATCTGAACACTTATCACTGTGGCTCCAAGTGAGACTAGGCAGTTTCTTTTCTCTACTCCTGTTTAATTTTTTATCTTTGTCTAAGGGAGTTAGGAGAAATATGAAAAATCAATAAATTCCACTGATTAGTAGAAGTTAGGACTGGAGTGTTAGCTTTATTTCTTGCTCATTGTCTACTCTAGCCTCTTGCTGGTTCTGTTCACACACAAGGCCTTTACAAGAACTCAGACCAATGGACACTTGGGTTCCCCCTCAGTAGCCCTAAGAAGCACAGCAAGAGTCTACCCTTGACTGATTCCAATCCTCTAGAAATAGTCCTAGGCTTTAGAAGACTCTAGTAGCAACTTGATGTTTTCCTGCTCTCTTCTTTAGGAGGAAATAATGAACAATCTAGTCTAAGTCTTCTTGACTCACATAAGACTTCTTGATGGTACTCAACATTTTATTTTTTCATTGCAGACCAAAGATGAACTCTGATATGCAAAATACCTTCCATTCAAATAATGGTGCTCTGAAGACTCTTCTTAACTGAGAAGGAGGAAAATATTTTTAAAGTATTAATTCCATGGACAGTATAAAATCTGCTATGTGATTCTTTGGATTATGAAGCTACATCTCTTCTTATTATACAGTATTCCCATGTCTTTCTATAAAGCACATTTTTAGAATTTTATAATGAAACCACCTTTATTTTAAGGCCTCTGTTGTGCTAATTACTGTGTTTGGACCTAGGAGGAGTGAAAAGGAAGTCTTTGTCCTTGACTCACAGCAGCCCTGACCACCAATGTAGACTTGGTTTACATGAGGAAGCAAGAAACTTGCCTCCTTTCAACCACTATTGTTTTGAATATTCAGTCACTCATAGCAATTTTTTGTTGATTATGTATACTGCACACCTCCTACTTGGTGCCATATCTTAGACTCTCTTTGCAGTGTCTTTTGTTTTTAATTGTCAGAGTATATACATGCACCAGAGAGAAAGAGAGAGAAAGGGAGAGCACCCTTCAATGGGACATGATTGTGCCACAATCCTTTTTCCTCCATTTCTGCACCCTGTCAAGATTTGGGGCACACATGTATACATGCACAAATTTGAACCATGGTTGTCCATATGGGATCCAGTTCCTTATGAATAGGGCTTAACCACTTTACTACGACGTGGCCTTGCAGGTCTTTTAAAATTCAGAAGATTGTGATTTTTGTGTCCAGCTCAGTAGCCTAGTGGTTGGAGGATCTAGAGCCCACAATAACCAACCACAGTTTGAACTCCAGGTGGTGAATTTAAAAACACACCAGGTATGTGTGTGCATGCATTCATTCCCCAAATCCAGACAGGATGAAGAGATGGAGGAGAAGAGACTACATCATGATCACACCCGATCGGGGAATGCTTTCTCCCTTTCCTTCTCTCTCTGTGTCTCTGTTTGTCTAGCAAATACACATGGCCTCTGGCAGTTAAACAGAAAAAAATATTTTTTGTATGTAGAATATATGTCAACCTTTCCTTTTATGACAAGTGCTTTTTGAGTCTTCTTTAAGAAATCCTTCCCTCTCTCCAGGTCACTAAGCCAGTCTCCTTTGTTACCTTTTATATGAGGTTGTGTAAATTTCCACAAACTTGGTGACCTAGCACAATAGAAATGTATTTTGTCACAGTTATATGAGCCAAAACTATGAAATCCAGGTGCCCCTCTGGGGAAGAATTGTTTGTTGTCTCTCCTCTAGTTTCTGGTGGCTGCCAGTAGTTCTTGGAGTTCCTTAATTCACAGACACATCATTCATCTCTGCCTCTGTCATCACATGGCCTTCCCCTCTGTGTATCTCTATATTTTCTCATTTTCTATTTCTTATAAAGACACTCATTGAATTTAGAGCCCACCCTAATCTTAAGATGATCTAATTTAAGAATTTTAGTTGTATTTTTAGCCAGACAGTTGTAAGGCAGTAAAACACAACACTCTGTGAAGGTGACCCATGTGGCAAGGTTCACATCTAGACACCTTCCTGAGTATTCCAGGCACACACTTCCCCATGGTCCAGACTGGCTGAAGGCTGAGGGTGTGTCATAGTATGAAGAGAAGGTTGGTGTACTACCTCTCTGTCTCTATCACTCTGTTTCTCTCACTTATGAAATAAATCAATAAATAAACTTTAGGAAAAATCATTTAAATTATATTCACGAAGACTATTTCTAAATAAGATCACATTTCACAGGTTGCCAAATTAGACATTATCTTTTGAGAGCCACTCTTTAACCCAGTATGTCCTCTGAAAACATTCCCCTAGAAATCAGGAACAGTGTTAATAAGGATTTCCACTGTCACACACATTCATAATAGTGCTGAGGTTTAAGCTAGCATAGTAAATCTAGGAAAAGAAGTAGAAAGTATCAGGATTGAAAAACAATAAAATTGTTATCAAAAGCATATCATATGTTTCAGTACACAGAAAATCCAAATCAATCTGCAGACATTTTTGTAATTAATAAGAAACTTGGGCATTTGCCTGATACAAAACCAGCAAATAAAATTCAGTTGCATTTCAAGATGCCAGTTAGTGGGACCAGCAGTTGGTGTAATGGCTATGTTGCTGGACTCTCATGTAGTCGACTGTAGTTCAAGTCCTGGACCTGGTGCCTTAAACTCATGCCGGGTACATGTGCATGCGTGCCCAAGATCCCGAGAGGAGAAAGGAGGAGAAGGGAGTGGGGCATAGCCATCCCCTCTGGGGGGTGATTTCTCACTTTCTGTCTCTCTGTCTCTGTCTTTCTGGCAAGCGCATGCACGCGCCCTATAGCAAAAACCTCTCTTAAAAAAAAAGATGCCAGGTAGTAACAGAAAATGAAATAATAGCACAGAGATAGCATTTAGAATAGCTTTGAAAACTGTAAAGTACTTATTTGAATTAACTCTAATAAATAGACAAAACTTTTATGCAGAAAATTGTGAAAACTTAAAAATGCCTAATTGAAAGGAAATGCATGGATTGGCAAAATCAGTATTAAAGATGTTAATTCTCACCACATGGTATGTAGAATCAATACAATTTTAATCAAAATCCTGTTCTGTTTCTCTTTTTTTAATGAAAGTTTACAGACTTTTTCTAAAAATGCTTACAGATCTTTAAAATTTAAGAAAAAATCACTCTTGAGAAAGAATAAATTGTGAGGACTTCACCACCATATAGCAAGACTTTCATAAAACAATAGCTTTTAAGACCATGTGGTATTGGTGCAGGGATAGGAAAAACAGAATAATGCCGGAATAGTGTCACATGAATAGACTCGTGTATGTGTGGCAATTCAATCTATGATAGAGACTGCAGAAGTTGGAGAAAAACTGCACATTTCAGTGGGTGGAGCTGGAACAATTGGGTATCCGTAAACAGAAGAGAAGCAATCAAATCTAGCACACACTATATCTAAAGTCAAATTCCATGAGATTAGTGACAGAAGGCAAAAACAATCCTTTTAATCAGCAGAGGCTGTCTCTGCATTTTACCAGTATTATGAACTTCAGCAGCTGAACTAACCAAATCATTTCTTTCACTTTATAATTCTGATAAAACCTAAGAACTATTGCTAAAATATAGCCACTCTCAAACTTTCTAGAACATGTTTCTCGTTATACGACACCTTTCTTTCTTCACCCTAAGGAGAATGTCGTTTCCATCCACCACAGTGGCACTGCCACAAAAGGCCCATGTGTCCCCTGGACCTCAAGTGACAGTAGCATAGCAGGGATTCCTCTAAGGAACACCGCCTATTGTGGTACAAGCAAGTGAAAAGTGAGTGTTGACAGAATGGAATTCAAAATATATCTCTGCTTGTCTTATAAATCTTTTGTTTAAGTCTAAATGGGGAGAGTTGAGATTCCCGTGAAGAATTCAGGACTGACTTGGGTTGTTGAGGGTGGAGTGTGCGATCCGCTGCTGGACAGCCAACTTAGTATGTGTGGTCTATCAGTATCTTTCTAAGTCTGATTTATAGAACCAGACTATCAATTTGAACATTTGAATTAGGGCATGACAAGTTGAACTGAAAACTTCAATTACTCATATATATGTACATCTTTTTTCCACTCTTCAAAAATAATTTTTGGGGGAACCAGCAGTTAGCGTAATGGCTATGTCGCTGGACTCCCACGTAGTCGACCGCGGTTCGGGTCCGGACCCGGTGGCTTAAAACTCACGTCGGGCACGTGTGCATGCGTGCCCAAGATCCCGAGAGGAGAATGGAGGAGAAGGGATTGCGGCGTGACCATCCCCCCTGGGGGGTGATTTCTTGCTTTCTGTCTCTATGTCTCTCTCTGTCTGTCTGGCGAGCGCACGCGCCCTGCAGTGAAAATCTCTCCAAAAAAGAAAAAAAAATAATAATAATTTTTGCAACTAAATTTTTCCTTTAATACATCATTGTTGCATTATATTTTCAACATATTTTGGTTGGGAGTAGAGAGGTGCCTGTGGCTATAAAAACAAAAGAAATGCATTTTCTTTTTTTTAAAGAAGCATATATATATAGAGAGAGAGGGCCAGCCTATGGCCTGGTGGTTGAGGCAGCTGGATCCTATGGCCAACTATGTGTTTCAAGTCCTGGATGCAGCTGCTTAAAAACATGCCAGAAACATGTTTATGTGTGCTCAAAATCTCAAAATGATAGAGAGATGGAAGAAAAGGGATTGCAGCATGATCATACCCCCATGGGGTTTTCTCTCTCTCTCTCTCTCCCTCTCTCTCTCTCTCTCTCTCCAGCCAGTACACATGCTTTCTGGCAATTTTTTTAAAGGTGGCATACACACACACACACACACACACACACACACACAATGGAATACTCTTTAGCCATAAATAGGATGAAATACTGTATTTACAGCAACATGGATGAGTCCTTAAGTTTAAAATGCCAAGGAAAGAAAGAATAACACTTCATGTTGTATCTCATATGTGGGAGATAAAAAAGTGATCTCAGGCCAGCCAGATGGCATGGTGGTTAAGGCAACTGGATCCCACATGGCCAACTGTGCAGCTTGAATCCTGGACTTGAGAGCTTAAAAAACACCTGGTACATGTCTATGCATGCCCAAAACCCTGAGAGGAGAATGGAGGAGAAGGGATTGCAGCATGATCTAAAGCCTGGGCGGGGGACGGGTTCTCTCTCTCTCTCTCTCTCTCTCTCTCTCTGCCTGGTAAACACAGGCGCCCTATCGAAAATTAAAAAAAAAAAAAAAAAAGTTACGTTATGAAAGTAGAGAGCCACATTGTGTTTACTAGAGTCTGGGAAGAATCAGGGAGGGAGGGACTAGGAGAGTTTAGTTAATGGATACAAAATGGTAGCTAGACAGGAGAAATATGACCAATTGTGTGATTTGAGTCCCAGACCAAGCAACTTGAGAAACACACCTAAGCTGGGTACATGTGCGTGTGTATCCCAAATCCTGAAGGCAGGAAGAGATGGAGGAGAAAGGATTATGACATGGCCATACCCCATAAGGGGTTGCTTTTGCCTCTCCCTCTCTTTCTTTTTCTGACAAGCACAGTTCCTCCAGGGGGGAAAAAGTCCCATTTTCCTATATATTCAACAACATTGGGTATTACCCATCCTTTGAATTCTCATCAATTTTAAACATTATTTTAAAAATATTTTCCTGATTATTTATGAAATGGAATATCTTTAGTATTTTCTTTGACTTTTCAGTATTTCTATCAAATTTCTCATTTAAAACTTTTTTCCTACTGATTTGATTCAACTCTATGTTGTGGATATCAGTCTGTTGCTATTATGTTCATTGCAAATGTTGTCTCCCAGTCTTTTTGTTTTTTGTTTGTTTGTTTCATGAGGATGAGAGACAAAGCAGAAAAAAGGACAAGTACCCTTAATGGGATCTCACACATAATCTCCCCCTCAAAACCTTGCAGACAGCCAGGATCATGAGTGCACTTGACTGACCGTGGGTGTGCTCCCAACATGACCACATTGACAGGGTAACTGACCCAGTGATCTCCCACGTGGATCCATCATTGCTTGAGCACTGTTACCACTGCACCACCAAGCTGGCCCTCTTTTTGATGCTTTAACTTTGCCTACAGTGACTTATTTCAGTACAGAAGTTCTTAGTTTTTGTGTGGTCAGATCCGTCAATCTTCTATTTTATGGCTTTTGGTATTGTACCTGTCATAAAAGTCTTCCTTCAGATTTTTTAAAAAAATCTAAATTTTCTTAAAGCAAAATCTTACAAAGTTTCAGTATCTTTTGCTATCCTAACAAAGACCCCCTTTATTATTCTTTTTCTTTCGATCGTTTTTAAAATTTTCTGGTCTATTCTTTCGCTTGCCCTTTAAAGTCACTTTATCAGGACCAGCAGATGGTGTAATGGTTTCATCGTAGGACTCCCATGTAGTCAATCGTGGTTTGAGCCCTGGACCCAGTGGCTTAAAACTTACCCCAGTTGCATGTGCATGCATACCCAAAATCCCAAGGTGATTTCTCGCTTTCTGACTCTGTGTGTCTCTGTCTCTCTGATGAGCACATGTGCCCCACAGCAAAAATCTCTCTTATAAAAAATCATTTTGTAGTGATTAAATTTGTGGTGACTATAAAAATTCGAAGTGAATTTTATTAATTTGAGTAATGTTTGACCACATATTTGGGAACCATGGCCTCGACAACGTAACAAGTAAAATTAACCAACACAAAGGGGACTAATTCAATGAATATTTATTGAACACCTAATATGTGCCAAAATTGTCCTTAACTCTGCAGATATAGTAATGAATAGTTGCTATTTTAGAAAAAGTGAAGAAAACAAGTAAAAAATGAAAAAAAAACAAGATAATTGTGGATTGTGATAAATAAAATCAAGATTTTACAGAGAGAGAGAATGGGATGGGTGGTTATAGCTACTTTACATTGGTAGTCATAGGGGGCTTTTTTTGTAGTTGTCATTGTTGTTAAGTAAAATATTTGCTACAATGATGACAAATAACCACTATTACTAAATTTTCATTTTAATGTTAAGTTATAAAGGCTTTCAAAAGGGAAGGGCACTATATTTTATTAAATACTTTTTAGGCATCTATTGAAATGTTCATGTTGTATTTTGCTTTGCTTTTGTTGAATTAATCCATAATGGATTACATTAATGTTCTAATTTGGAAAACTTATTTAAAAACTCCATAGTCATTACCATGGAGTATGGCTGAATTAATTGTGCTAGTATTTGTTTCAAACTATAGCCAACAGGCCAAATCTGGGTGACTGTGGTGTACAGTTTGTTAGCTAAAAATGATTTATAACATTTTAAAGTAGTCGAGAAAATCAAGAGGCCAGTATTTCTGAACTGTACAAGAAATTCAAATTTTGGTATATAAATAAAGCTTTTGTGTTAGTTTCCTGTTGTCCTTTGACAGTGATCTGAAACAACACAAAATATTCTTTTCTTTGTATTATAGCTCTGGAGGTCAGGGTCTGAAATCTGTTGCACTGCGTTAATATCAAGCTGTTGGCAGAGCTAGTATGATGTAGGCAGAAAATAAAATTTTCTCCTCCAGAGACTTTTCAAGGCGAAAATTTTTACATGCCTTTCCAGGCTTCTAGAACTGCATTCCTTACATTTCTTGGCTTGAGGCCCCCTTCCTTGTCTTCCTAGCCAGCCGTGTAGTATCTTCAAATGTCTGGGCTTGTGGTCACATTGCCTTCTGTGTCTACAAGGTGTAACAGCATTATTCTTAAGCTCCAAAGGCTGGAAACCACCCAAATGTCCATCTACTGGTGAATGGATACCCCAAATTCCTGACTGTCGTTCAGCTATAAGGAACAAAGCACCATATGCCATTATAACACAAGAAAACTTTATTCTAAGAGGAACTAGTCAGACAGAAAGACACGTATTATATGACTCGATTGTCCAGAAGAGGCAAACCTATAGAGACCAAAAGTATATTAGTGGTTGCCTGAGGTTAAGGGCAGGAACACAGGGCAAAGATAGTCTGCTAGGTGACCGGAGAACAGAGTGTGGTAGGTGATTAGAGAAGGCCTACCCGAGACCATGGCATGTTTGTGATGAACTCCAAGATGATGTGGAAGCTACTGGGATCTCTCAGGAGAACATGTGCACAGGTAAAGCAAAAGCACCAGTGAGCACCCCTCCTCATGGGACATTGTCACAGGGCAATTCATTCTCCTTTTCTTCTTCCAGGAGGATTTTAGGAAAGGCCCACACACCCATGTGTTTTAACAAGCTCCAGGCAGGGATTGACCTCAATCAACCATGTTGGATCCAGCTCCTTCCATACACGGCTTAGCCACTGAGCTGAACAACAGACGACATGAACTTTTTGAAGTCCCTTTTTACGAACTTTTAAGTCCCCCAGCTTTGCAGGGGTAAGGTGGGAAGCCGCTGGAAGACTTCCAGGGAGGGTCACACTTCCAGAGAACCCACTTGGCTGCCCCCCCGCCCACTCAGGACAAGGAAAGAAGAGGGCAAGAGTGACAACGTGACACCGGGGAGGTGACCGTTCCTGCCAGCAGGCGAGGACGGCGGGCGTCGGCGCAGGCGTGGAGGTGTGAGAGCCGGTGGCTTCCGCGTTTATTTGGAAGAGCCAACGGGGCTGACGGCTCCACCGTGGGAACTACGGGTGCACGGGAAGCCTAGACGACCCTGTTCTTCGACCGCCCAGCTGTGAGAAAGGGGTGGCCGGGACGGGGAGGGTCCCGCGAGGAGCAAGCTGCGGGGTCGGCAAATACG